TAAATGTTTTCCTGTTTTAGAATGGGTTGTTTCATTTTTTTAGGTAAGAACAAATATTAGTCTAAGGATCTTTGTTCCCCACAGTATGATCTTCTAATTTGACTGCTGCCTCTTCTCTCAGAGTCCAGGAAAGGAGAAAATATGAAAGTGCAGGGAAAAATGCTCAAGTCTGTGGTCTAAAGGAAATCTAAGCCTCTCTTTTGTGGTCTGTGGACTTCAGCAGGATGAGGCAGGTTGAGGAAGACTCTGCTGTGCACATCAACCAGCCATGGAGGCCACAGGCATTGTCTGTCCTTCAAGGGCTGCCAGGCTTTCAAACCCCACCTTGGGGGTTCCATTCCCCAGGAATTAGCCATGTGTCAAAGACATCAGCCTCAAACTTTTCAGCTTGATTTCTGCATTCCTAGGCTTAAGGTATGACCTAAGCAGGAACACTAAGGGACTTTACCAAAACAGGGGTTTGGATTTTTAATTTTTGCTGGGTCTGTGGTATGTGCTTCACTGCTTCTGTAGTGAGCAAGCCAGAGTGTCCCTTTGTAACCTAAACCCAAAGAAAGTGCAGCCTTCACCTCACAGCTGTCATTGATGTTGACTCCTGGTAGCACATGGGAAACCCTCCCTGCATTTTCAGCATCTGGATGTTACAATCCAGCGCATGGATGTTTTACAAATCTTCCTTTATTGCTCAGCCCCATTGGCCACTGTAGCCTGGATCAGCAGGTTGCTTGGCTTGCCTAGATTAAAGTCTTGAGACAGAGCATTTTGTAATTATGCCCCTCAGCTACAGCTCTCTGGCATTCCCAGCCTGTGTTATTTAAACCAAAGCTGTTTCTTATGTCCTTTAATTTCCTGTACCAATGCCAGCTTGCAGTGGTGAGTACAGCCTGATGGATAGGTAGGTAGGCTGCTGCTTTTAACTTTTCTGAATCAATGACACTAATTTTATTGTGATCAATTGAACAGCATCCTGTGACACTCCTGTGGAGGATGGTATATTTATGTAGCTTGTTTTTGTTACCCATCCCTGTGCATCAGAGGAGAGTACTTTCCTCTCAAATGCTTCCCTGAGGTAAAAGAAGCTGAAGAGTTTGCAAAAAATCCAAAGGGGGTAGGCATAATGTCATACATGGTGGAAGGTTCAGTAAAATCTTGAGGCTCTTAACAAAATCTTCAGAGGAAATGGTGTCAGTTGCAGAATAATATTCTCATGTGAGAGCCTTACACCTAAATTTCTGTAGTGTTTTTCTGGGAAGCAGCATTTTGTTTTCCTCTCAGTGTTTTTAACACGTTCCCATACCCTGTGGGTTATCTCTCTGTTGGCCACAAAAGAGGGTGAGTAGGAATAAGGAGTTGACAAGAAGGAAATTCTGTCTCAAGGGTCTGGTTGCCATAATAAGGGCGTAAGCTAACATTAACAACATTTTTGGGCCGGGGTTCCTGCTTTTCATGCTGCAGCACCTCATTTGAATGCTCTTAAAGCTGAAAAGAATATTAGAGAAGTGTGATTTCCAGGTTTCAGCTGGGATGGAGTTAATTTTATTCCTTGTGGCTGCTAGAGTGCTGTATTTTGGATTTAGGATCTGATGGTGGTAACACTGATGTTTTCAGTTGTTGCTAAGAAATGCTTCTGCTAAGTGAAAGAGTTCTCAGATTCTCATGCTCTGCCAGTGAGGAGGCTGGGGGAGCACAGGGAGCTGGGAGGGGACACAGCCAGGACAGCTGTGGATCCAGAGGGATTTTCCAGACCACGTGCTCAGTATATGAACACTGCTGGCCATGAGCAGTTGCACTGAGCATCACTTGTGTAGTTCAATTCTTTTATTATTGTAATTATTAGTATTATTATTATTTTCTTCCTTTTCTGCCCTGTTAAGCTGTCTGTATCTAGGCACACAAGATCTCTTATTGTTACTCATCTGATTTTGTCCCCCATCCCACTGGGGCTGGGGTGAGTGAGCAGCTCTGTGGGGTTTGGCTGCCAGCTGGGGTTAAACCATTCACTGTGGAGTCAGACAGTGGGAAACAACCCATAAGGACAGAATGAAAAATGAAAAAATTGTATTATATGTGTATAATACTAATTGTATTATAAACAGAAAATGTTCCTCTGAGGGACTACTGCTCACTTTCACAGTCAGAGGGGTTACATCTCTATGTCCTACAGATTTCCAAGCAAAGTAAAATGCTTTGAGCCCTTGCTCAAAAATTCTTCATCAAAAGTTTCCCTAGAAAGCAACATTGGCAGTGAACTTGAATGACTTTGTATCCTCTAATATGTGCTCAGAAATTCCTATGAAAATTCAACCCAATGCTCCTAAATCCCTTTTTTTCTCAGGCTTTTGTTCAAAAGAGTGAAGGGATTAAGAGGAAATTCACCCTACTAACTGACATTCAGAAGAAAATCTCACCCTTCTCAATAATTTATATTAATGGCAAAATGGAAATTCTTCTGCCTAAGATTTTAGGCAACTTATTCTAGAAGAAGCCTGATTTCCAAATGACTGCCCTGCCTAGGCTGAAGTCCACCATTAAAGTAACCACCAGCAAAGATTCTCTCAGCTGCATTGGGTTGTTTTAGCCATTAGTAATAATGTTAAAATAAGAACAATGAGACCAGATCAATGGAGCCACTTGGGATTTCTCTTTAGGGAGAGATGAAGGAAAGGGCTCTGCACCTCTGGCCATGATCACAACGTTTCCAACCAAACCCAGTGTGGGAGTGAAGTCATTTTCTCATGGCAGAAATAATCAGCCTTACAGAAATAGTCGTGTCTTGTGTAGACACAATGTCTTAGGGCCAGCAAAGGGAATTTCCTTCTCAGGAGCCTGGAGAATCCATTTCTCAGAGCTCCTGAGCAGCTGAGTGGCACATCACAGGCCATGAAGGCTCTTTGCTGCAGCAGATCACAGGCAGAAATCTCACATCTCTACAGCAGAGTGACAGCAGATGCTGCCTTTGGGAGAGAGGAGGTTTAGTGAAAAAGTCTGCCTCAGAAAAGGACCTGGGTATAAAAGAGACATTCAATGTGCATCTGCATATTTGGGGGGGGGAGATATGAGATTTCTGCATTTTATTATCTTCTAACTCAGTAATGTTACTCTATTTTTTAATTGAAATGTGCCTCTTATTAGGAAAAAATAGGTAGTCAAACTAGGAAAGATCTAGAAGGAGGCATTTCTAGACTGGCAGGGAAAAAATTAGGAGTGACTCTTTTTCTTTCTTTGTGAGATATAATTGTTATTGTCTGAATTCTCAACTGATATAAGCTAACTTGGCTCTACCCAAGGTGACAGAATCACTTATTATACCCCCACTTGTGTGCAACATCTAATTCACTAAACATCAGCTGTTCATTTTTCATTGCTTTTTCTGAAAACTACTGTAAACAAAGATCTGCACACATTTTGCAATGCTTCAGCAGTCCTTTTATCAGCGTTCAAAGCAGACTCACTTTAAAATTTGTGATTCACTACTGATATTAAATTAAGATTCTAAAAGTGCTGTTGAATGTCTAATGGTGGTGGAGACGACATAGATTTGTATAAAAACATATTCTCATTTTGTCATGCAATAGAGATTCCAGTGCTGTAAAATTTATTTTGTATCTGTATAAAAACTATAGTTTTTAAAGAAAAAGAACACTGGTTTTCACACTGACACACACTCTGCTTTCTCAGGGATCAATTTTTTTTTCTGGAATTTTAAAAATTAGCTTGCTTTATTTGTATTTCTGCTTTGCATTTCAGTTTCTGGTAATAGTCTGCTTTGGTAAAAATGTAGCAGCGATTGAGAAGCTCTAAGATATTTTTCTGGGAGAAAATGAAGCTGAAAGCTTTACAGTTGATGTGACTGGTGACATGTCCAAAATCCCTCATGTTCCAACCATCCCCAGTTGTGGCAGCTGGAATTTGCAGGGAGTTGTACCAGGTTCATCTCTCTCTGAAGGATTAGGAGAACAGGGAGAGCTGCTGTAACTGCACATTCTGCTGAGATCTGCTTCTCCAGATGTTAGATGCTTCTCACCAATTCCCAAATACCACAGGGCCCCAGGGCACTTGATCTCCCACTCTCTTCCTAGGATACATGCAGAAGAAAGCCTTTGCATATTTCTATGTGTTCAGTTTCTAATGAAATAATACCTTATTTTTTGGAGAGTGGATTCTGATGTGCAAGAGCTGTGGGGGTTTTTGGCTAATCTGTTCTGAGGCAGAGGCTGGCACCTCGACCCAGGGTCGCTTCTACCTTGTGTTTCACTTGATGATGCAGTTCAGTGCTTACACAGTACCACTGAGAGCACTTTTTATCTCTTCTGGCATATGGGACTAGAAAATTACTTGTAAAGAGCCTCAAAGGTTAATGAGAGCCAGTGAAATTCGTGCTATCTGCATGCCATTTAATACAGTAATCTACAAGACACACAAGGAAAGCGTTTCCTGGCAGAAACAGAAAAAATGTCATGACCCCAGACTGTGGCGGTGAGTGGAACAAAGGGCTGGGTTTCTTAGATTAAACATTTAATCCTTTGTGGGGTGAGCGAGGTCAGGCAAAGGAAGCAATCAGGAAGGTGCTCCAATAGCACAGGCTGGTGGTGTCTAGCTACTGTCAGACTGTGTAACCAAAAGAGCAGGTTCACCATCACAGTGTTACCTGCAACTGTAACAGGAGACACCAGGTTTTTGTCTTAACTAGGAATAAGTGCCAAGAGAAATCATATATAAGCACCTAATTTGTGAAATGCTAGGTGATTGTTTGCCATTGCAGCTCCTGCTATGATTTTTATTTTCCTGTTTATCCTTCCAAAGAAAAAGTAAGGTTGCCAAGACCTTGGATATTGTGAAGTAGCATCACCTCTTTCCCGTGTTTTTACACAGTGAAGGAGCTTACCATGGATGACCTGTGCTCTTAACCAAGAGCATTGGATGTGTTTCCCTGGAAATCAATTTCTCCATGCTGGAGCCATCTAAGGTGCATCTCACAGATTGCATTTCATGTTTTGCAGCACGTGCCCTGAGGGATATATATGTCTGAAGGCTGGGGAAAATCCTGACCATGGTTACACAAGCTTTGATACTTTTGGCTGGGCCTTTCTCTCCTTGTTCCGTCTTATGACTCAGGATTACTGGGAACGTCTTTACCAACAGGTATGAGGTCATTTTAGTACTGTTTTAGATTAAAAAAATATAAATAAAGACATCACCTTGTTACAGTGGTATATACAACAATTAAAGACAAGAAAGAATTGCTGGTTATTAGGTAAACTGTGCTTTGTGTATGTTCTAGAGAAGGATAATCAGATGTTCTGGAGAAGGACAATCAGTCCTCCACTCTAATTTTCTTAAGAGTGATGATGTGTGAAGACATTAGGCCAGGTGTTTGGGGAAATTGAGAAAAAGTGGCACTGAGAGAAAGACCCTAATTCACTTGAGTCTCAATGAAGTTCACACTTAAGGAAGATCACCACATCACCACTTGGGGATTTTTTGGCAGATGGTGTAACACAATCTTTGAGTCCAGCTCAAGAAAAGGCCAGAGAAGCACCTGTGTTCTTGTTCACTTGGATATGTGGTTTTGCACGGTGTGGTGATGAGCACAAATTCAGAAAATGGCAGAACTGTGTGATGCATTTCAGTTCTCTCTGCTGCAAGCTCTCCATCATGGACCCCTGACAGACAGAGGCACAAACAGATCCAGACTCAACTCACAGTCACATACAAGGTGGTCTCTGAATAAATGCTCATTTCAGCATGCATTTCCTGAAATGTGTGCAAACCCCAAAGAACTACATCTGCCAGTTTGGTACTGAATTACATTCTCTGTCCATGAAGTCACTGCTGCATCTCAAACCTGCCAAAACTGGAAGGTGATCATATGGAAATCAGGGGATGACTTTGACAGAACTACTCTGAAGGTACTGAGGTAAACATTGCTGAAGATTTGGGGGATTTCAGCTTCACGTACAGCCAGTTACGCAATTTCACTTCAGGAAAATGTAAAACAACGAAACTGAAGATCCTTTGAACAGCTGTATTCACTTGCTTGACAAAGAACTACGTGTACAGCTCTGGAAGACATAACCTGTCATGGCAAATAAGGGTGAACATCACTCCGTTTTATTATTTGACCTTATACTATCACACAGTGTTTTCTGTCAGTAGTATCAACTCACTGAGCATGGAGCATATCTGTTACATATCTGTTACACATGAGCTATCCCCCTAAATTTTGATTATGCCAAAAGATCTGGTGAAGAACCAGGGAATACGTTCAACAGAGCCCAAGGTTTGGTTCTTCTCGTCCTGACACCGATGTCTCAATGATATTTGGGTGAGTTGCACCCTAAACATGTATTTTTCTCCCTGAAAAAGGATCTGGATTGTAGATATCTGAAGGGATCCAACATGAATCCCACTTGGATGGTTTCTACACACTAGACAATACTAGATTGAACTGTGGGGGAATTTTTCACTGCAACTGACTCTAATATCTATTCTAAAATAAAACCAGCAGAGATATTTGGTACAGGAGGAAAGCATTGAAAGCAATATTCTTTTAGAAATTAATTCACTGCAAGGCACACAATTTTTGATTAAGGTATAAAAATTTATTGGTGAGGAGATTATTTCCTTGTATGTGGTTGTCATTTCTCATCAAAGGCTTTCTGTTTGAACTATTAACAAAGGCTGAATTCAATTATATTATAAACCTAATTTTAAAAGAAACCCCTTCCTCTCTTTATTTTTTTTTCTTTTAAAAACATGGTAAAGCAGTGTTAATTTTACTTTTGCACGTACAGACTCTCAGATCTGCTGGGAAGATCTACATGCTTTTTTTCATGCTGGTCATCTTTCTGGGCTCGTTTTACCTGATCAACCTGATTCTGGCTGTTGTGGCCATGGCATATGAGGAGCAGAACCAAGCCACGATTGCTGAAACAGAGGAGAAGGAAAGAAAGTTTCGGGAAGCCATGGAGATGTTGAAGAAAGAGCAGGAGGTCAGTGAATTATGTGACATGATTAGCCTTGAGTGACTTGGACAAATGTTACCTTGGGATTCACATCCTCTTTATTTTACATTTGTGTGATAAACAAAGTAAGAGTTTGCTTGAAAGCAGTTTTATGTTTATTGTACTGCACAAAGTTATTGCAATTTTTTGTGTGTGTGAAAGAAAAATTACAGTTCTCCCTCTTAGGAGCGGGGCCATTTGGGGTTTGCATATCCAGAAGTGTAATGGTTTAACCATGCCACGTATGCCAGCAGAGGAATTTAATATAGTTTGGCATGTGAGATGTTTTAATGATGGCAAAACAACATCTGCATTTGAGCACAACCCAGCTGTTTTGGTAGCTCAGCCAGAGCCCAGCTAAACCTCCTTCCACCATCCCTTGCACACATTGTTTTCTTCACTGTCTTGCTCAACCTGCTGTAAATCCAATTGTTTGGTAATCAAGGTAAAGTTGCAGATTAATCTCTTTAAAGCATATACAGCTTCATTCCTGGAAAAGTAAACAGGCAGACCTTGAGGTTAAGATCTGCAAATTATGCAAAGGGTATGGATTTAATGTTATGTCATAAATTTAAACAAACCAGGGAGGCCAAATGGTGGATGTAGCCTTATAGCCTTAATAACAGTATTTAATTTGCATGTGGTTTGTGTGGGGTAGAAAGCTTTTATTAAACAGCAGAAGAGAACATTTTAGGTGCTGTGAACAAGAAGACAATAAGAAAATTAGTCTGAAATAACACATAGCACTGTAGTTTAGAGAAATAAATCCTTGAAACACAATATAAACTAATATACATAATTTTCTTTTGGGTACATATGGCTTCAGGGCCTAATCCAAAGCCCATTTAAATCCTTGGAAAGAAAATAGAAAATGCAATTCACTCTTGACAAAGTGCTAGTAGTGGCTTATGAATCATTTAAGTCCTTTTAAAGATCCTCTTTGATAGTTTAAGTAATAGGTAAATGCAATTTAGTCCATATACAGCCACTTTGAATAGAGTAACTCTGCCATAACCTAAGGGAACAAACTGAGCTCCAGCTCGTACCTATTTTGTACAAATTTTCATGTGTATGGACTCCGGCTGAGCTCCTCCTAATAACAGTCAACTTTGGTAGCCCCAGCTATAATTAAAGATATTTAAGAATTTCATTTTGAAGGCTTGATTTCAATTAAGCCTGTGTGTATACAAGAAAAAAAGGAACATTAAGCCCGGAAAGCATAATGTGTCAAAAAACAAAGTTGCCCCTGAAAATCTGAATTTTTCCCATTTGTTTATATGCTTTTTAATAGAGTCATTTCTTCAGCCAGGCATTTCTCATCTTCCCTGTGCAGTGCAAAGGGTGGACAGTGAGCAGCTCTTTGCTTTCTCATCCTTTGTTCTGTTGCCTTAGGTCAGCTGGAGCAAAATTCCCGGCTCAGGCAGTCAAAGCCTGCTTGGAAGAAAAAGTGACTAACTTCCTCCAAGGTTTTTCAGAGCCTCTTGCCATTGCTCAGACTCCATGTGCTTCAAAAATGCTCCTTTCTATTTGCAGTATTCCTGGAGTATTATCCTGGTTTTGTGGGAAGGAAGTTGAGGAGTGGAGTGATTTGGGTCCGTGATGTTCACTAATGGAGTTCAGTAATTCAAATCAACTCCTGGCATCTCAAAGTAGACATTTGGAAGAAGAAGTTCAGGAAAGGGAATTGGGTGGCTGCACCATGGAGCTTTCAGATGTCCTACTGAGCTATCTCACCCCAGTCAGAGCTACTCAGTTTTAATCTGGTTCTCCAAACCTCAGTCAAGATTTTGGTTTTTACTTTCTCACTGTACCACTAAGTTCTTGCCTCAAGAGCTCTCTTTTGCATAATCCTCATAGCAGAGCTCATGTGCACTAGGCTTTCCTCCCATCCTTCAGCCACCACCTGTCCTTGCCAGGTGTGCCTGGTTCCACACACCTTTCCTGCCCCTGGAGTTGTTGCAGAGGGTTAAGGCCTGCAGTGCCTGAGGAACAGGACATGGTCCAGCACAGGAACCCAAACAGAACCCAAATGGGTGATAGGCAGGACATGGGGACATCCTCGAGCCCAGGCTGGATGAAGCACAGAGGAAGCTGGTAAGGTGTCCCTGCCCATGGCAGCAGCATTGGATGAGCTCTAAGCTCCCTTCCAACACAAGCTGTACTGTGCTTCCTCCATGCCATGAGGAGCAATTCAGCCCAAATCCTTTTTCAGTATCTGGGAGAGGTATTGACTGCAGAAGCAATTCAAGCAATAGGTAAGAAAATGATAAGAAACTAAAAATTAGCTTATTTTGCAGTATGAGTGCAGCATGATTAGTACACAACCTGCAATATTTTCTAGATGAACAAATTATGACAGCAATCAAAAAGGAAAACCAAAACTGTTCAGTCCAGCTTTTATAATGTACAGTATAAAGGGAGCAGAAATATAATTGATAGACCTGCTTGGGGACTATCAGTCAATTTATACAATTGGTCTAACACATTCCTAAATCTGAGCTTAACACCAAAAGACTTGCCAAATCTTTATGAAGAGAAACCACTTCAGCATTGCAATTAAATCAATTGACTCAAAAGAAAAAAAGGAAAAAAACAAACCAAGAAACCAACCAAAACAACTTAGACCAGTGTCTGAGCCCTCCTCCTCTCTGCTCTAAGCAGCTTGCTTATGAAAGATATTTCCCACAGGAATTAAGTTTTGTTGTGCTCTCAGCTTGATAGAGCTACCGCTACTCCTTGAAATACATGATTGATTCTTTACACGGCTGTTAAGTGCCTTCACTTTCCTTGGACTGATGCCTGTGGGAGGAAGGGAGTATTTTGCAGTGGAGAGATGATTGCCTGTTTGATTCTAGTGGCTTACAGACAATAGCACTGAGGATTCATCTGTTTCTCCTGTTCTGTGGAACCGGGAGAGGCTTTTTTTAACAATTCACTCTCTTCAGGTGTTTCAGCTGGGGGCTCTGCTTTGGGCTGGTCTCCAGGCCACTGATGTGGCCAGCACTGGTTCTCCAGCACCTCCAAACCTGACCCTTGTGTCCAGAGTCCCCTCACTCCTCCTGCCTGGGCCCCAGCTCTGCCAGCTCCTATCCATCCTTCCTCCTGACTGCTGATTTTCTCCCAGGGCTGTGGTTTTGGTGCTCAGGCTTTGGAACTGGGCTCCTGCAGGGCTCCCAGCAGCTGGTGTGTTATCTGCCTGCTCCTGCAGAGATCCCAGCAGATAGCCAGCACAGTATGGAGGCACAGCAAAGGCCACCTTATCTCCAGTTCAGCCCATGGCTCTTTTTTTGCATCTCTGGTCGCAGCTGCCTGCGCTGCCATTGGGATAAGTGTTTACAGAAACGTGCCAGCTGAGCTGCCTGCTGCTCCTGGCATCCCTCTGTGCAGGGGAGGGAAAATCCCAGCAGCCAGCTGGGCTGCCCTCCTGTCCAGCCCTTCAAAGCCCTTCAAAGTTCCAGGAGAACTTTAATCTGAGGTTCCCCAACCTGAGATTTTTCTTTGCCTGGCACCAGAAGTGTTACTCCAGAGATGAGTGCACGGCTGTGCACGCTGGCTGTTCCTTCATGATATGCCAAACACTCCTGTGTGGGAACCCCACATAAAAAACATCCTTTTATGCAGCCACTCCTAAGTTTTATGATTCTTTATCTCCAGAATTTTTTAGTATATCTCCTATACAAACTTAAAATTTAAAATGAAAAGTAATTTCTAAGCGGCAGTAGTTTTCACTGAAATCCTGAAATAACAATATTTATACCTTCTATAATCTTCTGATTTAGGCACTAGCAGCTAAAGGAATTGATTCAATGTCACTCAGCTCATTGGAAATGTCACCTAAAAGTGCGAAAGAAAGAAGAAATAAGAGAAAGAAAAAGAAATCTTTGGGGGCAGATGAATATGGGGAAGACCAAAGGAATCCCAAATCTGACTATGATGATGGTCAAAGGAGGATGGTAAGCCACAGTCTGAAACATCACTTGTTCCACACTGTACTTTCCTGGACAGACCAAGCTCTGAGCAAGGCAATTTAAATTGAAACTTTCAGAAGAAACAGGTATTTAATATCTTAACTGATATTAACATAGCAGATACAACATACAGTCTGTGCTAGAACAGTGGAAGGAAACATATTACCACTTTATTTTTTAAATGAATTTAAAATGCCCATTAAACATTTTTATAAACCTAGTTTTTTTTCAATTTTTTTCCTTTTTTTTTCTTTTTTTTTTGCCTCAAGATTACCCTCAATCTGGTTTATTTTCTTTCATTCATCTGATGATATCTATCCTATCCCTACTAGAGATAAAAAAAATATCTTAGTAGAAACCTACAAGGCTTAAAATAAAAAGAGAGGAGGAGAAAAGGAGGAAACTTGTCTCTGAGGGCTTTTTAAATATTATACAAAGGCATTATTAACATTTTTATAGTCTTTTGCTAGTTGCCTCCAAGTCAAAACTTTGTGGCACTTGTTTCTACTTTCTATTGCAGGAAAGAAAAACAGAGTGACAGTGTTATTAAATAAGATTTTATGTAAATGTTCTTGACATGCATGAATATGAATCTGCCCATGCTGTATGTATCAAGGGATCATAAATAGCTCCAGATAATTTCTCTTTGTTTAACTGAGGGCAAAGTTTAAATCAGTTTGTTTTGTTGTTTTGAATAGCCATGTAATGGGCTAAGTCATTTTCTATTTTGTTGTCAGTGAATTTAGGGATACTTGGCAGCCATAAAAAGCTCATAGAAGACATGTAAGTGGTGTAAATAAATGTGACCAATTAATGACTCCTAGGCTCACAAAATTTACCCAGAGCTGGATTTCTGTAGATGACATGCATTTTTTAATCCAATTGTTAATGTTGTTGTCTCATTGGTCAAGAGGGTTGCGTATCAAATTGCACCTTTTCTAAACCCAGAATTGCTCTTTAGCTTCATTCTGGATAGGTTTCAGGACACCACGTGCCAGAAGCACCGTGGATTGGAGCTGTGCATTTCCAGTTTATTTCTCAGATTAATATTCCTTGTTTTCACTTTTCGCCCCTGGATGTCATATGCATGAGAAGCATGGGAGACACATTTCAAAGCTGATAGTAAATCTTCTCTGCAAGGCTGTGTCTGGCATGGTTGGAGGGAATAAGGCTGAGTCATCATTCAGATGCTATCTTAGCAGCTGGAAGTGTGTTGCCATCAGAAATCAGTCTCAATGACTGTGCCATGGAAACCCAGGCATGGATTTCTGACCAGCTGAAATTTGGTTGCAATCCAAAAGCTCTGTTTTTAGTTAGGAAGAGCCTGGGTTTTGTACTCCTCCATGTACCAGTGTCACTAAATAGCATCATTACATAACTCAGTGGTGTACGCTACAGCACAAAATAAAATCAGGCTTCATTTGATGTGTCTGGTTTGTGGGTGCTGTGGCAATCTGACCTCTCTTCATAGATACTTGGCTCATGGGAAAGTTCTGAAGAAACTGGAAATTCTGTGCAGGCATAAATTCAAAAATATGTTCTGCCTAAATGCTCTTACTCCAGTAATTTCCTCTTTAGAAAAAAGAGAAAGGGGTAGACTTGAATTCCTTAGACATTTTCTGAAGATCCCTTTTGCTCTGCCGGATTTTAGGTGTGTTTAGTCCTTGGCTACATCTTGCTGATGCTCTGGCAGAGTTGCAGTCTCACTAACTGACGTCAGAGTGGATCGTCAAGGCTGATATTTAAGTGAGGGAGACTGCTGTGTACTGAGGTTACCTAGCCCTTAAGCAGCCATGTGCATTGAGATAATCATTTTACAAACTAATAAACCATATCCCTCTTCTTGCTCTTGGTTTGTTTTTGGTTTTTTTTCTTTTTCTTTTATCACCTTCTTCCGTCGTATTCTGCTTCTTCTTCTTCCCTCTTCTTCTCATTTTCCCTGCAGTTCATTTCCTGCCCTATTTCTTTATCTATTCTTCTCCCACTGCACTGTTCCTTCCCTAGCTGTAATGAAGATGTGTGGTGATGCAGTAGATTGGAGCTGGATCCCCTTCCCTGCTCCTGTCTTCCACTCCTTGTGCTGCCTTCCCAGGTCCTCTGGCACTTGTCCCATGGGGGGGAGTAGAAGCAAAGGAAGTATCACACTGTGACCTGAATGCCACCTTGACCCTTCCTATTTCAGTACATCTTTAATTGTCAAGTGTTAGACAAATGCCTAAAGGCTAGGAATGACTGTCCAACCTCTTAACTTTGCGGAGCCTGAATACCTGTAATTAAGTCTCTCTTTCTCTGAAGCGCTTGGTTTAAAATGGAACATACTGCTCTCCCCCAGAACTTCCTCGCTCCTGAAAACATGTTGCAAAATGTTGTTTCTCTTTCCCCTTTTTCCTTTCTGGGGGTTTCCAGACTCTCCTTGGCATTAGTTATGGTCCCAGTGCAAACTTGGTGAAGCGCAGAACCAGCCACGGAAGCGTTTTCAGTTTCCGACTCCGTGGCAGAGACACTTGCTCCGAGACAGATTTTGCCGATGATGAGATCAGCATCGCTGGGGAAAATGAAAGCCACCGGGGCTCTCTCTTAATTCCAAGATCTGGGAGGCGTCCAAGCGTGCAAAGTCAAGTGAGCCATAGTTCTCACCCTACTACTCCCAACTACACCCAGACGGGCAAAAGGAACAGCTCAGTGGATTGCAATGGTGTGGTTTCCCTGATAGGAGGAGGCACCGGGGCACTCAACCCAGACCCTACTTCTCCTGCAGGGTTACTGCTCCCCCCAGTTATTATGGAAAAGCCTGGGACAGGCAACCTGGTGAGTACTTTAAAACTTTTGTATGTGATTCGCGCTCTCGTTTCCTTCTAAATGTTGTTGGAGATTGCTGTAATTTATTTGCACCATATGGAGTCTACAGTGAGAAACCCAGACTCACCATTCCAGCCAGGTGGGAAGACAATGAGTTAATTCACAGAGAAATATGTGCCTAGTGCCTCATCAGGGAGGTTCATGCCTTCTGGTGAGATTTTCTCTTCAGAGCTGTCAGGAGGCAAATACCTAAATCTTGAGTTTGACAGAGACTTTATTTTCTTGAAGGGACAGATTTAAACTTGATTTCTTTTGACTTTTGAATACTTGACATTGTCTGGTGGATAGAAAATTATGGGTTTTAAATGATTCCATCAATCTTGCCATCTTGAGACTGTGTTTTCTCTTGCTGTTTGGTCTCTGTTTGCATCCGACCTCTGGTCTTCTCTTGGGCTACTTGAGGAGAGCTGTTCCTTCAGTCCAAAGGTAGTTCCCAGAAAGGTTTAGCATCCACTTCAAATAACTCCCAGGAAATATCAGCAGATGACCAACAGATTTCAGCCCTTTTGCAGATTGCCAGCATCTTTGTTGCAGAGCAGCACCATGAGATGGTGGTTTTGGAAACAGCTGCTACGCAGGCAATGTGGACAGGTTGCTAGTTTGAGATAGTGGGAATTTATCTTTTCTTGTGTAGATAATATACATTGCAGCTCATCACTCTCACAGTCTTTTAAATGATGGAGGTCACTACTACAGTCAGTGTGGGCAGGATTAATTTCATTTTAGGGATCAAAACAGACCAGAATTAATCTCTCTCCTTGGAAATGCCTTTTGCTGTTCACTTTAACCACAAGTCTTAAGTTAGGTGAGATAAAGCCCACTCAGAGTAACAAGGTGCCAAAACCAGGTTACGTTTGTGGGATGAAAAAAGCAAATGTGATTATAACATGAATTAAGCAAGGTATCTCCTAAAGAGAAAGGTGAGTGTGATGGATCCCAGCCGTGGTGTCAGATTATCAGTAAATTGAGAAGCATTTTTTTTCTCTGGAGCCAAGCAGCTTTATTCCTTTTAGGGTTTGGACTGAATTTTTTTTCTCACCTATCTGGGCATTCCCTGTAGTTCTGCAAATAGATTCTCACACCACCATGAGAGAAGGGGCCATGCTACATGTAGGAAACTGGTTGGTGTGAGAATTATCTGTTTTGTTGTCAGTTTTGAGACTGTTGGTTCTTTTTCTTATGTTCACATCTTCCTTCATTTAGGACTTTGGTAATCCCACTTTTACTCTCTGTGGACAAGGATGATCAGTCCTGAGACAATTCTGTAAACAGCTGAGCAACAGAAATGCTGTTTGTAGATATGGAAGTTTTACTGGATTTATCTTTGTGGGAAAAAAAAAAAAGAAAGTGTGTATTAAATGAGCTGGGGAAGAAAAGTTGTGCATCTGTTAAAAAAAAATTCTGAACCGAAGTTATAAGACCTCAGTAGATAAGTAGAGGATGTCCCCTTTTCTCTGTAAGGAAAGCAGCTCTGCAGGCTGCTGAGGCTGTCCCAGCTGTCAGAAAAAGCTTAGCAAAGCACAAGAGCACTCAACCCTTCACAGAAAATATCAGTGTTTTGCAGGATTGGGTCCTGAGGTGACAGGGAGGCTCTGAGCTCTGCTGGCATTTATTTTCACCTGTGGGCTTCCTGCCTTTTGAATAAATGGATTCTCGGGGTAGGTGAGCTCACTTGGTGGCTCCCTGGCTATCTAGGAAATAACACCCAGGCACTACAGTAACAGATGCTCATCCAGTTGTGCAATGTGAAGGATGTTGTGTCTTTTGAAAAACAGCTTTGGTATCTAATCTATCCAGAAGATGTGAGCTGGAGTTAAAGGCTGATTGGCAAGGGGCCCATTGCTGTACAGATGTATTCACTGCAGGAGCCATAAGCACTGGGCACAAACGTGCAGCCTCAGCTGTGGCTCAGGCAGAAGGAAATAGCAAATCTGACCCCTCAGCATGCTTGGAGATAAATCAGCATGTTTCTTGGCTTTGCATTTGATGATTTTCACCTTTTTCATGTTAAAATTTGTAGGTGAATTTGTTCTTTGCTAGCAGCTCTGGTTTCTTTTTATAATCTCTTGATATGTTTGGGGAAGGTAGAAGAAAGATGTTGCAGTTACCTCATTAACCTCTCTGGCCTTTCTGCTGTTATGTGTTTTGAGCAAGTGTGAGCCCATGGTGGAAAAGGACTCACTTGGGCTATCTGTTGTGTCTTTCATGAGCAAGAAATGAAGGGACAGTCCATGAAAATGCATCACTGTAACGTGGCTTAAGCCCTGACTTGCAGCTTCCTGAGGTGTAACTGTGGCTTTGCTCATGCAAATGGAACACCTGGGTAGAGGGAGCTGGAAAAAAACACAATTTACAGCATTAGATTTTTGAAGATGCACTTTTTTAGGTCACTGATGCTGAGTAGTATCAGTTGAACATAACACAGACCCACCAGACTGCTACTAAAGGGGGAGATCACTGAATTCTGATTTGGGGAAAGCTTGGAGGAGCACTTGTGACTTAAAAGACAGAGCAAACATCAAACAAGATCTGACCATCTCTGGTTTTGCATTTTCAACCTGTAGGCCTTCAGCCACAAATAGTGACTTAGCCCATAGCTGTCACAAATTATTCCAAAGTGGGTCCTCCTCAGGTTCCTCCAGAAAAGCACAGTCATTAACCACTTTTGAGCATTTTGGCCTGATCAGCTTCAGCAATATTCACCCTGAACAGTTTACCCCAGGCAAAGTGGTTGGGTTGGGACCACAAGGAACAACTTCCATGCCTTTGTGTCATTGCAACTGTCCCCAGTCCTAGCCAAGGGCCATTTCCCCATGGGAATGGCTGCAGGTGGCAGCTGAGCTGACGTGGAAAACATCTGTGTAGTTCAGCTGCCCTCTCCCAAGAGAGAAGTGGCTGCAGCAGTTTATCCCACTATTCAGCTGGTGACTCAGAGGAGTGACATCCTGGCACTTGGCTGCAGAAAAGCATGTAAGATAAAAAATCCAGTTTCAAATGCTCTTCAGATGGCCTTGAATGCTTGGCACAAATGGACGAGTGGGTTTCCATGAGAAACCAAGTGTGTCTGCACTGTCCATCCCCTCTCCCTAATTCCTAAATCCAGCTGAGGAAAAAGGGAGGATTTTAGGTGCTAGAGCCCATCAGTCTCATCAGCTGGGGAATCTTGATGGCCATCAGGTTTGCTGACCATGGTCAGCGTGGTCCATGCTGGGCAGCCACTTGCCCATGGGCTCATCTGCATCCAAGTAGTCCTGAAAGTCCCCAGGGGCTTCAGTGCACAGCCTGAGCAAGAGGGGGACATCCTCCCCTCTACAGGGAGACTTTGCTACAGCCATGGGTGTCCCCATGCCACAAGAGAGTTCCCACAAGGAGCATTTTGGGGAGCTGCACAGAGGGTTCAGTGCCAGGAGGGCTCCAGCCAGAGAACCTCCAGAGGTGATAGGAAGAGCAAAGTAGTGCAATATGGAAGTGTGGTCTGCAAAATCCCTTCTCAAAACCAGGTCTGGGTCCAGCAGTCATCACCTGGAGGGGAAGAGCAACATGTGGTCACGTCTGAGGGGTGCAGGGACCTTGTCCCAGGAAACTCATGGCAAGTCCTAGTCACTCTTCTGGAAATTCAGGGGACTCAGGGCTGTCCTGTTCTCCCATCAGCTTTCTTCAAGTGGTGCAGCTGCTGATTTTATCAGATTTATCCCAGTGTGTAAATAAGACATAAGCAGGACTTGGTGACCATGCTAGACATTTTAATTGTTTTTGTCTTGACATGAAACTGAGAGTTTTGAAAAATGATACATTTTTACACTCCTGCTTATTGCTGAGTAGGATTTTGGCTTTTGTCTTATTTAGATAAAGTCTATATATTAGGTAAGTAACTTCAGGACACACAACAACCTAAAGGTTCTGCACCATCCTGCAGTATTTATTTGTGGCTTTGCATTGCTCTGTTGTGTCTTGGTGTTTCTTAGTTAAGAGGTTGGAATAACACCTCCCTTCACAAGGTATTGATAATGCTTGAGCAGAATTTGATTTAGTTTATGAGCTCTTGCCCAGAGCTCAATTTATCCATGGATTCTGATGAGGCTGAGTGCGATCTCACCTGTGGTTGTCAAGAACTTCTAGAGGGTTAAGGAACACACAAACACCATCCCTTCTATTCTCCTAAATCCAGCTGGAGCCTTTTTCTGTAGCACTCCAGGGAAATCACAAGATTTTTAGTTTAACCTGACTTTACAATTGCTCCAGATGTGGAAGTGGAAGAGAAATGGATGCAGGAGTGAAGAGTGGTGTTTTCCAAGTGGGCACAGGCTGTTAGGTAGTGATCCCCACTGCTTTGCTGTCCCTGGGGCACCTCCTCACCAGAGCTTCCCATCAGTCCAGGAGCAGGGCAGGGCAGCCTGTGACATGGTTTTGGGATGGGCAACAAGGCTGGAGTCACCTGGGGTCACTCTCTTGCACAAAGAACCGTTCCTGAATTTCCTCTTGGCCATGCTCATGCTTTCTTTTCTAGGAAACTTGAAATTCTGGGCATTACTAGATTGGCAGGAGGGAAAACACCTGGAGAGTGGCCAAGCTATTTATCAAGGGACTGAAATAAAGATTAAGGAATGTATCTTTAGATTATATTAGTTTTTGTGATATTATTTAAAAATAAAAACAAACAAACAAAAAAGACCTTGCTTTTTGTTTCAGCTAAGCATAAAAGGCTTTTGCTGACCACATTGGTTTGAGGTTTTCATGTTGATCCTAAAATCACCCTGAGGTAAAATTTTTCTCTTTCACTTCTTGCTGGTGAAAAGGGAAAGTGTTAGCAGTTTCCATGTTCAGAAATAAAGGTCAACAGAATAAGTCATCCAAAAATCTTCCAATAAGTTAGGTGGATAAAAGCTCCCTCTGATGCTGTCATACAGAGTTGTCACCACAGCTCTGGTTTCTACTCACTTAAAAGTTTGCTTTTGTACATCCTAAGTACGAATCACTTAGATTTGGTACAAATATTTCAAACTGTTTTAGTTTAGTTTAAGCATCTCTTTAAATAGTCAAGCATCCCCAAAATTAGGTGGTTTCTTTTTAATGCTGTGCTCTATTATGGCCACCTCCAATTTCATTAAATATTTGTGCTGGTGCCTTACTGGGTCCATTGCTCATGGTGTGGCCTGTCTACCTTTTTCTGCTTGAAAAATTTTGAAGTGTACAAGGAAAATGAAACTTGTCCTGGTCCCCAAAAATGGTCTTTAAAAATGCTGCTATGTTTAAGTCTATCTTCACATAATCATTTTGACATAGTTCAAAACTGTAGGCAGTGAGAAGAAAATATCCCTGTTATGCATCCTCATTTACATGTAAATTACTGGATAGTATATTTGTCTCTATATAATTTAGCTAATCCAGAGGAGGAACATTTCCAGTCAATCAGGGGGCAACACAAATAATCTTATCCTGCTGGAGGTGTCTATATTTAACTCCACTGTGATTTCTCATCTGGATCCTAGGGAGACTCCTTGCATAACTGTGGGGACAGCTGTTATTTTATGCTTAATTTCTATAGAAATACAAGTACAATGAGCAACTGTGCCTGTGTGTGGTTTCTCAGAGGTGATAATAGCCTTCATGCTGCCTGCTTGTCCAGTTCCTGGAATTGTTTCTGTGTCACAGTGCAAAAGCTGCCAGTTTCGTGTGTGACTATCAGCTATCTCTATTCTAAAATAAATAATAATATTATAAACCCAAACCCACACATATCTACTTTTTACATAGGGCAAAATCTTCTGACCTTCCTTAAGCAGCTTTAATAATTTTAGGCGATTCACCTGGAGGGAAACTTTCTTTCCTGGAAAAATTCTTCCTAGTAAGGGGCAAAGTGACTACGTAATGGTTTTGCTGCTCTCTTGGCAAATCTTTGCCCAGTGGCACTGCCTGCCACACTCTGTGTCCTCTGCTCTGTGCCAGGTGCCAGGGGGATGGCAGGGAACAGGGGCCTGACTTTATTTAGTTAAATAAATGTTTTAAAATCAGGAAGAATTAACCTCTGAATGTTTTCCCTTTGGGTTTCTAGCACTTTGCAGTTGTGACTAAAAGGTGGCTTTCAGATAAAGGACTCTTGGGAATGAGGTTGTCTGATGACATGTTACTGGTGCACCCCACACTTTAGGTCAGATAGGATGGGAAGATATTAGAGCTTAAAAAGACTGAAATAATCCACAGAGATTTGAAATTTGAGGTTTTCTTATGGTTCATTTTACAGAGACAAACTTGTGGTTTGGGTTTTTTTCCTATTTTCTTTACTTTTTTTTTTTTTTAATGTATTCTACTTAAAAATTTGTTTTTCTTCACCCTGTCTAGCTATTTCTTTTTGGTACCATGTATTTGTTATGTATTCCAAACTGCTGTGAATGATTATGCAATTTTGTAGATGCTTTCTTCATTAATAAAACATTTGTTGTTTCATTGGTTTTTATTGGATGTGTTTGAGGTGAAGGAAATCAAGCAAACTAATGCATCTGAAGCACCATTCCTGGTATTCCCTGGCTCCTAAGCCAAGGAGAGAGTTTTTTCTTGTTGTGTATGCCTCTCTTTGAAGAATTTCTTATTATAACTTTCCTTTTGAGATGACTTTGCCAGTAACTCAATGGGCAATGAGCAGATTCAGTTGAATTTTTCTTTAATAGAACATTTTGGGGGGAGAGGGGAGGGGAAGGCCATTTTGGAGCATTACTGATTTTCTGTCCCAGCTAATGTTTTAAGTGCTTGCTTTCAAAGTCCTGACTCTTCTCTGGCCTTGCAGTGATTGGTGTTTTTAACTGCAGTACTTGAAGTGACCTGGGCCAGCATCCTGGTTGTAATTTTGTTTGTCAACCAGTGGCCAAACATCTTTGCCCTTTGCTGGGGATATCCCCTGCCCTGAAGAGGTCACTGAGCTTGTAGAGGTTCATCATCTTTATTTCTTGCTTTTCTCATGGAATTGCCTTTCTTGAAGAGTATTTTTGGTAGAGGAATGGTGGAGAGGAGGGCTCCTGTGTCCCTGGGCACAAACAGCAGAGCTGTGGAGCTGCTGATTTTTGGCACACCTTGGTTGGCATTCCAGGTGCTGATCGGGGGGGTCAGGGCCATTTCAGACCCAAGTGATGAGAAGATCCAGAAGACTGAATCTAATTCCTGTAGCTCATTTGTCTATGGAGAAACTAAAGCAGCTACTCTGATACCTGAATAAACCAGAGGTTCTCATTTGTAGGGATTTCTTCTCCTTTCCTGTTTCCTTGAGCTGTAGCACAAGAGCCACCAGGATCCATCCATCTACACCTCTCTTGTTCCACAGTGTCTCTGACCTCACAGATGCTTGAGGACCAGGGCAGGGGCTGTTAAACATTTATTTTGGGAAGCTGAGGGTCTCAACCAGGAGGTCTGTGACAGAGAATCATTTTGAACCTGGCTTTTCCAGATTCTTGCACCTCAACCATTTTTCCTTCCACTTGATTGGGATCTGGAGGAGTAAACCAAGTGGGATTTGTTCTCTATATAAAGTGGGAGCTTGTAATAATAAAAGCCTTAACATCTTGCTCCTCTGAGCTGACAATATAAAGTGTTTAATGCAGTGTGTGTCTTCAGCTATGCTGTATTTTTGTCTGACTTCAGAAACCCAAGCCTACAAAAAGAAAAAAACTAATTTAAAATGAGACATTAAACAAAGACAGTTTGGGAGTTCTGTTTTTCTGGTATTTGATTTCTTTGGGATTTTTTTTTATGCTTTTCCTTGAGAAACATGAGAACAAGGGTTAGGTTATTTATTTTTCCTGAGAAAAAGAAGTTAAGTCTCTCCCCTAATTACAGAGCTTCAGAATCCATAACACCAAAGATCACCACAATGACAATATGTTCCTGAGATTTGGCAGTGTTTCAGAACAAGGAAAAACATGTGTTGGGGAGTCAGTTTGCTTGGTATGATATCAGAGGTCTGCAATGGAGCTGTTACCCACGCCCTTTTCCTTTTCTAGCTGTATAATTAAATACTTAACACTTTTCAGAAATAATGGATTAATTAATGTAATTAAGCAGGCCTTCTTTCACAAGTGAAGAGCATAGGAAAGCAGCACTGCTATTCCTCTGGCATCGAAAGCCTTCCTTTATTTTCACCCACACTTTACATGAAGGTGAAGGGCAGAATAAATTTCCCAAAATTGCTCAAAGTGCCATTTTCAAAAGCTGTGCCCCACCAGCATGCCTTTAACTCAGAAGTCAGTGAGCTTTAGACTCTTCAGATGACAAAATTAATGCTTAGGCAGTTTTGAAATCTCTACCCAGTATCTGCCTTGGTTTTACTCTGCTGATCCAGTGTGTTCCTTTAAACAGACCTCCCCCTCGGACGAGGCAAGCAAGAAACAGCTTTTAATGCCCCACCGGCCCTCAGTGGACCACTCAGATGAGCCCTTCCAGAGGCAGAGGGCAGTGAGTGCTGTCAGCATCATCACCAGTGCCCTGGAAGGTAAGAGACATCCTCAGTTTCCCAGCTCAAAACCACATCTGTGTTAAAAGACAGGAAAAAATGTGACACAAAATGCCCTGATATAATTTTGAGAGAAGGCACTAAGGAGAGTTATTGCAACCCTGATAACAGAGGCAACACAATCCGTATCTTACCCATGGACTTGTAAAAATCCAGAGAAAGTGCCACATAATCAGAATTGGAGTGGTGAGATTTAAGATTTTAAGATTTAAGTGCTGTCATGGTGTTAGATGTGCACAGGGCTCACTGGAGTGCAGAGCACCAGGCTGGTTTTGGGTGACTGTGTATGTGCTGTGTCTCATCTCTCTGGGGCTGGTGGAAAGCCTGGCACATGCAGAACCTCCAAATTGTGGGGGAGGAAAGTCCCAAAGTCTTTTTCACAAGAGGGACTCTGCCTTGTGGTGCGTGTTTGAGTCCCACTGTGGAATCTGAGGATGCTCAAAGGACGGCTTTACCCACACAAATATTTCTCAACAGCTTTTTCCACTGCTCTTCTCATGAGGTGCAGGAGCATTTTCCTCCTCTGGGTTTTCATAGGCAGGAACTTTGCATGTTCCCTTTGCAAATTTATTGAGAGCAAGACAACTCAGAGCAAGACCCCCACATTCCCAGTGTTTTGACTTGTAGCATGAAAGGGCTTCCTACACTGTCTCGTGTTTCCTATACTGCAAACAAGGATGAGAGAGGAGGCAGCACCTAAGACAGAAAATGTCACTCAAGAGCACAGTAGCAAGGGAAATTGTGGGTTCTCCTGCAGCCTAATTCTCTGTGTGACTGAGGGATAGGAACTCACAAACAGGAGCTGGACATTGCCCAATGTGAAGCCACAAAGCCCCTCCTCTCCCTCAGTTTTTTACCCTCCCCTTGGTTATATTCAGCAGTGTTGTGGCCAGAAGATGTATTTGTGTCTGAATGGATAAAGAGCTGTGTTCTTAATAGGGAAACAATTTGCTTTGGTGTATTCCAGTTTTTAATGTACTCTGCAAAGGTTTTATTTGTTTTATGTGGGGTTTTTAGCAATTAGCTTTGTGACTGATTTGCTCTCTTGCAATGTGTTAAGAATGCTTAAAAGACCTGAACATCTGGATTTCTTGTTTATTTAATAGTATTTTTCTATTCCTTTATATCACAGAAATAGTGACCATCCAGGCTAGGATATCTTAGAGGACATGGCACTCAGGAATGTGGTTTAGTGGTGAACTTGGCAGTCAAGGGATAACAGCTGGAATCAGTGATCTTAGCTGTCTTTTCCAAACTAAATGATTCTATGTAGAAGAAATCCTTATTAAAGGTTTCCTAACTCCCAGACTTTGACTGGTCATTGAAATTGAATACATATTAACAAGGAACATCAGATCAGAATAAAATATATCACAGAATTTAACCATATTCATGGCTGTAAGATTTGTGCCAAACTTTGAAACAGCCAGATCAGAAATCCCTTCCCCTTTGCTGATTTGGTTTCTGCTCCTAGCTCTTGGGCAGTCAGCAACTGTCTGTTTTTCCCAGACATTACAAGGCCTTGCAGAAAATAAAGGATATATCTCTTTTTAAATTTAAAACTAAGAGGAAAAACATCACAATGCTGAATGTATTTTTCTGATCATTTTTTACAGTATCAGAAAAAACAGAGGCTAATTTTACTTTTTCCTTTTGCAGATATTAAAAAAAAAAAAAAAATCTTGTGTTTCCCAAAGATCCTATTTATTTACTGGGAAAGGATGTGGATTCTTAATTAATTTAAACCATTTTAATGCCACATCACTGCCAAAGTCATACCCTCCTCCTTCCCTTGCTGTGTTCCTGCACTTTGTATGATTGGTTTTCAGCTGGATCAACAAGCAGAACCAACTCACCCAGAAGAGCACAAAAGCTGGCAAAAAGACAGAGAAATAACATGTGGCTGAGGCTGAAGAGGGTGAAACCAAACCTTTTAGCAGCAACCTGGACTTAAAGGGGCTTATGTTGTGAAGAATAAGAATATAGATCAATGTGTGCTAGATTTACCTGGAAAATTAGATCCTTAAGGAATTGACTGCCCTAAACTCCTTATTGCTTTCAGAGGCAAGTTTCAAACAAAAAAAAAAAAAAAAAAAAAAGGATTTTGCATTGAAATCCATGGTTCTCAAATAATTATAGGGTTACCTGTAAACTTTCACTTTGGAGGCTGGAAAAAGTCATTTCTTGGGAGGAATTTAATTTCCTAAAGATCTCAGAGTAGTGTAGATGTGTGTGCAAAACCTGTGCAGGTAGGACATCATATGGTCTTTTGAAAGCTTGATGGAAGACACCGAATATCACAGTTCTGTTGTCCTTTGAAGAAAAGTGGGTAAAGAATCAGAGAATCTGAGGGAAAATTCTCCAAGATCAGCAGGTTCAACCTGTGACTGAATACCCCCATGCCACCAAACCATATTGCAAAGTGCCACATCCACTCAGTTTTTGAACATTTCCAGGGATGGTGACTCCATCTGTGCTTAACCACTCTTTCAGTGAAGAGATTTTTTCCCAGTATCCAGTCTGAAGCTCCCCTGGCAGAGCCTGGGGCCATTTCTCCTTGTCCCAAACGCTTTCTGCCTTGGGAGAGGAGGCTGTTTATGAACTGATTGAAATAACAGCCTTGGCTGAAGTTTTCCTGTTATCAGTGCAGCTTCTAATTATATAGACTAAAACCATAATACAGCATTCCATGCCCATAAAGGAATCAGAAAAGGAAGGCATTGAACAATTCTGCTGATCATTGTCATTTAGCCATTAACTGTCTTTTTTTGACTTTTTTTTTTTCACCATTTAACACAAATTATATTTATGAAGCTATTTCAATTCTTTTGGGCATAGGTAAGGTGAGCATGTAAAAGTGGTATTACAGCAATATTTTAAGAGCACCTTTAAAAAGCACATTTTTAGTAGTGTTTTGAAACCGGCTTGTGTGCTCCCTGATTTTGTCTGTGGGCCTTTCAGAAAAATCTGATATTTAATGCCTTTTGGGATTGCACATCAAGGACAGAAACTCTGTTGACAACCAGTGATACTCTGGTCCTCAAGTACTTAAATCAGCTTTAAATCTTGGATTTAAGCTCTTTCATCTCTTATCTGCTTTAAAAGGTATTACTTAAGATACTTTGAAAATGTGACTGGGGAATGAAAAATAACATATTCCAATCTAAGTTAAATGAAGATAGGGTATGTTGTCCATTTGAAATTGGCAAATGGAAAATAGAGTAAGAATCCAAGCTTATATATAATTCTAGAGTTCACATATTTAGTGTGATTCTCACTTTTTGCCTGTGACACTTTTAAAAGGTTTTTACTTTCAGAACAGGTCACTGCTGAGTGCAGGTCAACTGGCTAAAACCCCAAAGTGTGTAATTTGCCAGCCTGTTAGGACAGGAATATTTTTATCTTTGAAAAAAGTTTTGAGGTAATTTGTGGGTCTTCCTCTGTGTAATGAGTAATTTTAAGTGTTCTCTTGTGGTATAACTCAGTGTGAATTGACTGTGACTTTGCTGCTTGTGACTTAGAGCTTGAGGAATCGCACCAGAAATGTCCTCCCTGCTGGAACCACTTTGCTGTTAAATTCCTCATTTGGGATTGCTGCCCACTTTGGCTTTTAATCAAGAAATTTGTCAAGTTTGTGGTAATGGACCCATTTACCGACCTCACCATCACCCTGTGCATTGTGCTGAACACGCTCTTCATGGCCCTGGAGCATTACAAGATGACCAAGGAGTTTGAGCACATGCTGTACATTGGCAATTTGGTAAGTGAAGTGCCACCTGAGGGGTAAATTTCCTGCTTTTTAAAGTTTTGACCATGGCTTGGGAATGTCCCATTTTGATAACTGCCAGCATTGCTTTACATTTGGCAAGCAAGTCCTCACAGCCACCTTTTTCTGAAGAGAGCTGAATGAAGTGTCTATTTTTATCAAGCTAACATATTCTGATGTTATTAGCCATGGTTTTGGGCTGTTCCTGATAGATATCTGTTTAAGGAAATGAGATAAGCGAAAGGTTAATCAGCTTTATTCAGGATTTCTGGTAAAGCACCCATAAGGCAGCAGTTCTTGGTGACTAATAGTGACTTTTATGTTAAAACAGAAACCTACAGAAAAAAAAGCAAGGCAAGATCTTGGAGGGAAATGGAGTTGTGTTTGACCATGGGTTGATACTTATGCTGGAAGGTGCCTGTAGTGCATCTTCTACATGTGGTGGGTGCTATGAAAACCCTGGGGCAAAGGGGGCGGGGAGCAGAGCACGGCCAATGTTTTGAGGGGAAATTTAATGTGCAAATCAGAGCAGGTGGGTGTAGAGATGCAAAGCAAGCAGAGACCACACTTGTCCAAAGAAAAGCAGAGGGACAGCCCACAGTCAAGCTGCAGGGACAGCAGAAAAGACTTTCCAAGGCCAATGTGATAAAATTTGTGGCCCGGGGGGGCACTCAAAATGGAATCTTTTTCTTTAATCATCTTTCTCTGAGTTATGTTTAAAAGTTCCCATGTGTTGCTGTTTTAAAACTTAATGTTTAGAATCCTTTTAATTGTAAAAGAGTCTGAATTAGAAAAGGCACAGGCCATCCAGCTATGGCATGGTGGGATTGCCCCTAAAATGTAGTGGTGGCAGCAGAGATATCCTATAGGAACATAACTGATCTGGAGAATCTGGAATGTGGATGCTGCTAAGTTTGCATTTGAGGAGCTCACAGCAGAGGTTCAAAAAGCCCTTTATTTCTGTAAAAATATTTGCCCTGTTTAATGCTAGCATAATCACAGAGGGTTAGATGTGACAGGCTGCAGTGGCTGCAGTCTCTCAAAGCTGGATTCATGTCACCTGATTTTAGGTATTTACAGCCTAGGAGTCTGTGCCAGTTGTCTTTGTCTCTAAAGTCAGTGAAAAGTAATGAACAGTTTCAAGCCCCATGAATGTGCTGTTGTGGTGACATTTGCTTTTGGATAAGGTGAACAGTGGCCTGCAGGGCTGTGACCGGAGTAGCCACTGACCACGGTGGGAGCACAGAGACACTGCAGATGTGAGACCTGCTTCAGTGAGAAGCCTCCCGTGCTGGCAGGTTTGGCTGGGTAGTAGCAATAACCAGGCATTTTGTATCAGTCCTAGAATACAAGATATAACATATACACTTATTTTTCTTTACCCTGGTGCTTGTTATTTCTAGCTCTGGCCTTCCATGGGCAAGTTGAGGTTATTCCCCTGTTGGAATCTGTGGTATTGGTGATTCTGAGATTGTAGAAAGTCTCTGTCTTTCTGCCCCGCTGCCAAAGAAGAAGCCATAATTCATCTGTGCTGGTTTCAAGGTTGTTTATTCTGTTTATCTCTAACATGTTCTGCTGCCCTGCCGCAGCTCTGTCCTGCAGGGCAGCGTGTGGGGCTCTGCCCTCAGTGGGATGGTACAAACATTAAATACCACAAACTACCTGTGCTGGATTTACAATAACGTGCCAATATCTGTCACCTACGTTGGACAGTGTGTCCCCAGCCTAAACCAACAAAAAAAGGCCAACACCACAGTGAAACATGGAGGGCATGAAGAAGGAGAAAAAGGACAAGACACACCCAATTTCCTCCATCTTGTCCCCTTTGGACCCCTAATCTAGAATCCTAAAATTTTACTTTTGCACCCGTGCCACACTTAATTATTACTGATATCAAACACTCAGAGATTGTAATTGATCCTGTAAGATTGAAAACTCTTTTCCATGGACAGAGATCACAGACAGTGTCTCTGGGGGCTCTGTCCAGGGGGGTTCCTGACCCCTGCCAGGGTCCCAGACCTGCCAGGGCAGCCAGAGGGAAGCTCTGGATTCCCACATTCCCCTAGGCTTTGGGACCTGTCTCCAGTTTTTCAGCTGATGTGTTTTGGCAAATCTCCCTGTGTTGTGCTAAGCAGAAATCCGTTTGGGTCTCTCTTGCTCCCAACCCATGCTCTTGCCCTCTGCAGAAAGCAGTAGATAAGGATAGCTTGGAAATCATCTTACAGGACTGCACCCAGCTTCAATTTTCAGCCAACATTCCTTCTTCTTGCTCAACAATTTGTGGCCTTCTAAGATGACTTGAAAAAATTCCTTTGCATCCGTCAAAGCAGGTTGCAAAGCTGCCACTTCCCTCTCTGGCACTTGGGATAGTCAAGGTGTCTGCTCCTCACTCTGCTTTTGGCAGATCAGCTTCCCCCTTTGGAGACCACAGGCAGTGAAACTTTAGCCCTTGGCTTCCCTCCTGCCAGCACAGCTCCTGTAGGCCTGCCAGGGCTGAGCAGGGCTGTGCCAGGTGCCATCAGGAAATTAGACAATCAGTAGAGACAGGAATTTTTGCCATCAGGGAAATTTTGCAGAGAGACTTTTTTTTTCTTTTTTCTTTTTTTTCGCAGAGAGAGAAATTTTACAGAGCAAATATTTGCAAAATTTTGCCAAAAAAAGAGAAGAAAAAGCTCACTGTGGGTTTCTTAGCACTGCCTAGAGCTGTTCCTATCCTTTGTGCTAAAGTGTAAAGTAAGCAAAACAGCCTGCCTGCATTTTTTGTAGCAGGCTGATGGCTCGGGGCTCCCCTTCTCTTGAGATCCCAGCTTGGGTCTGTGAGAGCCCAGCCTGTCTCAGCTCACCCTCACCAGCTTTACTAAACCCACACATAACTGGATTAATTGTGAGCAGAGCAGGTCAGAGAAAGGTAACTCCATTTTGTGGGAGATTTTGCAAAGTCATTTGTAATGAAAACTGACATTTTCTGCAATTGCCTGTGAAAGGGAAGGGAGTCCCAGCTCCAGGGCAGGCTGCCAGGTGACTGCATCCCCTGAGCTGCAGACTGGCAGCCCCCCCTCTGCCCCCACGCTGGCTGGCTGGCTGTCTTCCCGTTACATCTAGCCCTCTTTGAGTGATTATGCTAGCATTAAACAGGGGAAATATTAAAGAGGGCAGGTCTTTGGCTTTTTTTTTTTTTTTTCATTTTTGAGAGAAATGAAAGAATGAAAATGGAATATAGATTTTCTTTCTCTGGATCTGCCAGTCACTGGGGCTCTCCCGCTGTGATTGTCCATCATTCAGCATCTGCTACTTGCAGGCATCCCTTACAGGAAGGAACATTTTCAAACGTGATCAGAGGCCAGTCGAGCACGTGTACAGAGTTCATCTGCCCACGCAGTGCCACCACTTAAAAAATGAGTGGAGAGAACAAGACTCCCTCAATTTCTGTTTTCCTTTAGAAGCTGAGGTACCATTATGCAACATTAAAGCCTAAATGGCTGAAACGACAGATAAAAGGGTTTGGGTTTTTTTGTTGTTTTTTTTTTTTTGTTTTAAGACAAAGTGCTCCACATCAGCAGTGTCATATTTAGCAGCAGTGGGATGTTAAACTACTTGTTTTCTTTCCAGCCTTTATCACAAGAAACACCCAGCCCCTTGTGCAGGTGCAGTGGACCAGGTGCTGTGTGGAATTTGTGGCTGGTACACACACGACACCTGATGCCTTCAGGAAGGCTCAGACATTTTGCTGCCTTGCTGTGACATTTCCTTCTCAGAAAGCTATTGATTAAAATGATGCAGGCAAAGAAAATGATCCTCCTGAGTCATTTTCTCGGCAAGAGGGTTGCATAATGTGTGCAGCGTGGTCTCGTCGTTTTTTAAAGCAGTCCCCTGGATACAATTTCACAGGCATCCAGTTTTGTCTTGCTCTCTGTCCCAGGAAAAATTTGAGCATTATAGTGGGAATCTTTGGTATCTCTAACCCCTGTGACTCAGAAGTTCTTTGCTAATTAGAAATATGAGACAGGTTGTTTGTTGTGTTCTTGGTATGAGGCGGTGATGGGAAGTTGCTCTGTCCCAAGGTATTGCTGCAATCCAAGATATCATTTTCCTGAGGGGAAACAGAAGGTATTTTCCATAAGGAGTTGTGTAAAATGGCCACTTGGAACAATTAATTCCTGAAGCATTACAGAGCAAAGCCAAGCACTCTGCAAATTCAGGCTATGATAATTTATTTTTATTCTTTAATATAATTGTATGATTTTACTCTTTGCCTTTAATGTCTTAGTGGATGCCTCATCTCTGTTGTTCAGAGTTGATCACTTTTGCTGGGCTAATGTTGCAAATATTCAACTTCTTGGAAGGAAAACATTTCTCCTTGACTGTATACTAGTGATACATGACCTCTGGATTTGCCCCCCTGTTTTGACCATCAAAGTGCATTAATGTTGATTGTTTCACAGAAAACCATGTATTTAAATTTTACAGATATCCATTTCTGCAAATGTATACATTTCTATTTCAGAAATTCCAGAATTTTCCAGAAACACAAAGCTCTGGGCAGCTTGTACTAGGATGTGACATTAAAATAAAACAGTATATGACAAACTTTGTGTCCACATTTTGTCATTTTAAGTTGATTGCATTTTAAGTCATTTGAAGTAGCATTGCACTATGCATTTAAAACACCACTTAAGCAGGGCATACAAAGGTACAAAATCTGATTCTCCGGGATACTTTACAGGAATCTATTAAAAGTGAATTTGCTATCAGCAGCCTTCCTTTCCCTGCTCCCTCTGCCTCATAGGTAATATCTATATGTTGTTTTAAAGAAAAATGTTCCAATTAGAAGCTCCAACATACGACATTTGAACTGGGTCATAAATAACCAATGTGTTCCCAAGATGCAGTGAGAAGAAAATTGCTGTGATTGTTTGTAAAAATAAAAAAAAAAAAAAAAAAAAGCAAACCCACCAAGACTCAAATTAGAGTTTCTAATTGTCTTTGCTGCCAGCAATAACCTCAGAATAACTGGAGGCATGCATTGCCCTTCTATTGATAATAAGAACAAAATTAAAAGGGATAATACACCAGCTACACTGCAACCTAAATAGCCCTTAACACTCTCCATTCACTTAGCTTTCTCCACTGAAATATATAGATTTAACCTTTATAAAAGACACCTTTGCACCTTTTTTTTTTTCTTTTTTTTCCCCACTGTGATTATTCAGATGATGGAAGGAGATGGAATTGTATGTTCCAATCCAGATCCTGAAGTCAGATATCATTATAAGTTTACATCAGTATCAGGTATTATTGTGAAAAGACTAGACAAAATTGTAATAGAGATAAAGAGTCAGCCACAAAAAAAGCAAGTATTTGTTTGTAGAATGTCTCTGGCTTTCTGCTGGGTTCACCTGTGTGAGTGGAAACTCCACAAGCAAGGAGTTGTACTTAAAAGGTTAGTTTGACTTCATATTTTCTTTCTTTAGGTCTTCACTGGGATTTTTACAGCAGAAATGATCTTCAAAGTAATTGCCCTTGACCCCTACTACTATTTCCAACAGGGCTGGAATATTTTTGACAGCATAATTGTTATTCTAAGCCTGATGGAACTGGGTTTGTCCAGCATGGGAAACCTGTCTGTTTTACGCTCCTTTCGACTGGTAATGGTCTTATTCTGTTCTTAACCATCTTTTTAAAATTACATATAAACTCTGACATGAATGCAATGTATTTTCTTAAAAATGCATCTGCCTATAATTGCTGCAAGCTGGTGAACAGTATGTGACACTAATTACTGTGGGATAAATGGAATTGTTCCAGATTTACATCAGGGTAAATGAGAACATAATTTGATTCCTTCTAGCTGTGCCAGGTACTTGTAGCACACTTAAAATATTTGAATTCCAATTTGTAATAAAGATCTGCCATTTTATACCTGTACACCTGTTAGCACAGACAGTAGAAAATTGATAGCCCAAGAAATGCAAGAGCTGATAACTTGTTGTTTTAGGAGCTGTTATTCCTAAATTATGTTATAAACATGCCACTGTTCTTTTAGATGTTGTCAAAAGAAAATGTCTTTGAATTATTCAGAGAGAATTTTTTTTTCTAGAATTGATCAGCATAACATAGCATCTGTCTTTCACAGGAACTCCTTAGCTGTCAGCTCCTTTGTTAAGCAGGGGACAGTGGTGTTCTATTAATGAGAGACTGGCAACATGCTGGAACAGAAAAGTACTTTCCTTGCCAGCTTGACATTTGTGTTGCACTTCATGTACCAGGATGTCCATGCTAATAATTCTGGCCATGATATGGCTTCAAAATTTTAAAGATCAGGAAAATAAGCTTACGTTTACCAGAAGAAAAGAAATTTTTTAACCCAAAATTCTCTGCATTGCTCAAAATACTAAATTTTCCATCACTGTCCTAAGTGTCTCCCTCCAATTTTTTTTAGCAATTCTGCTTCAATAGGGCTTAATTTAAACTTTCAGCTGAAAACTCAGCACAAGGGCACCATTTACATCCTTAAAATAGGTCTTAAGTGGGCCGTGGGCTGGCACAGACTACGTGATCCTTGGCACAGAGGTGATTTTCACCCTGGGAGCTAACAGCTAATAACACCTGACTGAGACTTGCTCTGAAGCACAGAGGAATTCCTTCTCTCATTGTGAGACCAAACCTGAAACCCCTTCCTCCAGATGCCTGCCAGGCTGTTTATTTTGAGGAAGAAAGGCAGCATGAAAGAAAAAACTAAGAAATAGATTTCATTCTTCCATCCTTTACCCACCAGTGGGGGAATGTGCCATTAAAACCATGTCTATCTAACCATGTCTATCTAACCAGGAAAACTTAATTCTCATCCGAGAAGCCCAACTGATGTTTTATTAATAGAAGTAATGAGGTTAACAGGAAGTATGGCTAAAATCACCTTGTACCACACACACTGCAGCATTTAACATCTTTCACTTTTTACTCACTTTAATAATTCATTGGCTGGAATGGCTGATGCTTCTGTGAGCTGACACTGTTGTTTATGTTCTGTTCACAGCTGCGAGTCTTCAAGTTGGCAAAGTCCTGGCCCACCTTAAATACTCTCATTAAAATCATTGGTAACTCAGTGGGTGCCCTTGGTAACCTCACTCTCGTGCTGGCCATCATCGTCTTTATTTTTGCCGTGGTAGGAATGCAGCTTTTTGGGAAAAGCTACTTGGACAATGTGAAGAAGATAAGCACGACTGGCAATCTGCCACGGTGGCACATGAACGACTTCTTCCACTCCTTCCTCATCATCTTCCGAATTTTGTGCGGAGAGTGGATCGAGACCATGTGGGACTGTATGGAAGTGGCTGGGCAGCCACTGTGCCTTCTCGTCTTCTTGCTGGTCATGGTGATAGGAAACCTGGTGGTGAGTTCTCAAGATGTTTTGGGGTTTTTTTTCTTCCTTTCCTGGTGGGCCTGCGCAAATGTCGGCATTTTTTAAATCCAGAAATGGCAAATCTCACATTGCTTCACGATTTAATTCAATGAACCGAGTTGTCAGCAGGACAAATTTGCTCCTATCCCAAATACAAAGTTGCATTACTAGTTGAGTAATTGGGAATGAGGACTTGCTGGATTTTTTCAGAAGAGCAGATGTTTTACTAGAAGCAAAGTACATGGGTTGATCGCAGTGATTTTATTTCTTTTGCCATACATGAGGCTGAAGGCTTTCCTGATCTCTTTTCTGTACAGGTGTATCACCTCAACTATCCCTCTTTAGGGACATATTTATATTTCCCTTCACTTCTGGCCCAGAACACACAAACCTTACCACAGCACAGTGTCTTTGAGAGGAGTTTTGAATGTCTTTAGCCTGCATGTTTTAGGAAGCTGCATGTTTTGTTTACAGTAATGTCACTGGCTCACTTGCTGGTTTTTTAATAGACTATCCCATAAGCCTGGCTTACATAAGCTCTGAACCTATTAAGACTGAATTATATTTCCCTGTTGACATCTTAAGGAGCGCTTTGCTGGCTTTCAGTCATCGTGGAAATGTTTTGCCTGTTCAGCTTACAGAGCATCTTTGACATTGTGGCTCTAATGGCCTTACTGTTTATGTAGTGAGTTATTTAATAGTAGATGCTGCTGTAAAAAAAACAAACTGTTGGTTTTTTGCTACCAATTGCTTTTAGTGGTTATTTTGCTTTTAAGCACCCAATGTTTTGGTTCTCGGCTGCTGGGTTAGAAAAGTTTTTGAAAGAGCTTATAGAAAAGCAAAGTGTATTGCTTTGTTTACAACAACTTAATTTTTAACAGTTATTTTCACATGAAAATGTTGATTGCAAAAGCAAAGTATATTTTTTAGGGTTTTTTTTTAAATAAAAGTCAAAAGATTAAACTGTAATTACACAGAAAGTGAGAAATTATTTACTTTTTTTTTTTCCTAGGACTTACCATTTCTATAATTTTTTTTTAATTAAATTTGATTAGAAGAGCTCGGGCAGAATATTACTTTCTTTATTTATGAAAAAACATTATTTATTATATCTTTTAGGAGAGTTTAGCCTGAGATCTAGAAAGTTAATTTCCCCCTGCCATTAAGCAATGTGTTCTGTGTATGATGATGAAAGCTGGAAATAATATGTGTTAAATTCTAGGGAAAATGTTAACATTTGAAATATTCATGGATTATTAAAAGATGTGAATTAGCAACATCTGATACCCTTAGATATTAACACTCATTAATGTGCACAAGTTCTGCTAAGGATGAAATCTGTCTCAGCAGAGACTGCATTAACATTATCTACATACATTTAACCTTCAGTGCTCAAAAAAAACCAAAACTGTCCCAGAGTAAAACCAGATATTGAAAAACTCTGTCTGCATGGAGAAGCTGAAGTTATTGGTCAGCTGAAAGAGAAAATTGCTCGCTTTACTCTTTTTAGCCAACAGTTCTATAATGATGTGGCAAAGACTGATAAAGAGGAATAATTCTTGTGTTTGGGCACTCATAGAAAAAAAAAAGAAGGAAATTATGTCTAGGTGATGAGGCAGTGAAAAGAACAACAGATTCTGATTTATGAGACTGATCCAGTGCCAACATGGATATATCAAGGTGTGATTAGCAGGTAGAGAGGAGGTCATCTTACACCTCTGGCACCAGCAAAATTGTTGCTTTCTTCAGTAAGAGTGAATTGAACTCACCAACTCCCTCTCATAACATCATCGGACCCAAAAATTCTGGTAGCTTAAAAGCACCACAAGCCTTTTAAAATAAAAATACTCATGTGCAAAAACTTAAACCTGTAACTCCATTGCCATCTGTGCCAGCAAAGTCTCTCTTGCTGAGATCCTTTTTCCTCCTCTGAGTTTAAAGAGTCAGTTCTGATAAAGAATATTCTTGAGGTTGTATCTCATTTGGGCTCTAAATGCTTCCATAGTATCTGGAGGCTTGGAAAAAATCTTGGTGTAGCATATCTGTACATGCTTCTAAATTAATTTTTTTTTTATCTGTCACATCTACCTTATGGTGATGTCTGTGGTCACTTTCCCCACTGCAAGGCTGAGGATTATGGAGCAAACTTGCACCTGGACTCCTGTAAAGTCTGCAAACTGGTGTTGAAATTGTTACAACCACTGCAATTCTGTGGTATGTTCAGTGATTTGGTTTGCAGGTCTTACCCAGCCTCACTAACATAACAATTCAAAGGAATGGTGAAGAAAAGCCAGGAAACTTAGAAAGTGCCCTGAGCAACCTTGTGTTATAGAGCAGTCCAGTTGTTCAAAGGAATTTTAGTATATCCGTAGATTTTGGATTGTATTCATATATCCTGAAAATGTCTGGGACAATTTGTGTGCAGTGCCACATGAAACTATATTTGAGGCTGGTCAGCTGATGAGTGAATCATCTTCAAGGAGCTAAACTTTACAATACAGTTGGAAAACAATCTGCTGTGTAACTGCCTTTTGCACAATAAAGTGTGCTGCTACTGCCAGGTGGCATTTTAGAGTCATTGAGGTTGCTTTAGAAGGTAAAGCCAAACCAGATACACCATAAGAATTTCTTCATCATTTGTAAGAGAGAGCTTCTGAAATAGCTAAGTGAGTAATTACTCTTTTAGTTAAGTTTTCAAAGGGGCTTAACGTATTTTTAATGTACATTTATGTTACTGAGGTGAGCAAGGAAAATCACCAAGACAGGAGTTATTGAGGTGATGTAGGAGAATTAGGGTCACGAGGCAGGTCCTCGTGCCCCCTGCTCTGGTGAGAGTTGAAGTGACACCAGGGGACATCTGTGTGTGCTGGGTGCTAACAGCGTGCGTGAATAAAAGTGACATTTCCATCACAGGCAGGACAGCCTCCCAACCTCGTTGGGTGTCTGTGACACACTGGCCAAGCCACACTTTCACCCTCTGATGGCCACCAGGATGAAGTATGGATCCTGCCAACGTCTCCTGAAGTGCCACCAAGGGCAGGACAGCCTAAAATGCACTCGCTGTCTCTGCTCCTGCTCCAGCTGGGCTGTATGAGCAAAGAGCATCTCTTAGTGTTAAATCCACAGAGCTGCAGTGCATTTCCTGGTCCTCAGGGCTGAGTTCTGGGCTGCTGTTGTCTCACCTCTGTCCCATTCACACGTCCCAGTACATCCATGGCACATCCAGCCCTGTTCCCAGTCCACCACAAGCTGGCACATCACTGCTGCATTTCCGTGGTGGATCTTGCATTACTGGAGTCACAAACATGTAAACACGTAGGGTCTGTAACCAGGAAGGTGACACCTTAAGAATTTTCCTTAAAAGAGTGGAATTCCTCCTTTAGGATCATCCCTAGCCATTTTTTTTTCCCTGCTGTCCATTCACTCCGGAAAATATTGATGACATTTTCTGAGAACACTAAGGTAGAAAGCACCACCAATTTCTAGGGTAACTATCCTGTAGGCGGGATTGCATAACCATTATTGAATTAATGCATGATGCATGGAATTATGAAATACAAAGTGTAAGGTCATGCACTCAGCCCTGTTTAAATATTTATGTTATGATCCAGTAGCTTACCAACAGAAAATGTTTGAGAGCATATGTATCAGTCACTGTGAACATCTGCATCTGAAATAATTACATGGAGGCACCTCTATAGTCAGATCTGGTTAATGGAGTCTGTGAAGTCATAAAATAACTTACCACCCAAAAAATCTAAATATATCAGACTAAATAGGCCCTAAAACTACCTATTTCTGTCCCTGCCATCCTAGGAGGCAAACAGCTGTAGAAATCCCTGTGTGGTTTAATATGTTGACCCAAGAGGACCTTCTGGTCCTGTGTTTTCCTATGGTAATTTCAGTGCCTGGCAGCAGAGCTGCTCAGCAAGGTTTGGATGAGATTTGAAGTGACCACTTTGGTTAAACTCAGTGGAAAGTTTTCTCTGAAAAAGTCAAATGTGCCTGAAAACTGTCTTTCTATTCTGCTTCCACATCTCAGGAAGTCTTTATGAATTTTTTTTTTTCTGTTGTAATTTGGCCCATGAGATGAGCAGAAATATGGAAATGTCACATTCTTGGGCAGAAGAGGTTTGTGCCTGCCTACATGCCTTTCCTACAATTCCATGTAGGAAAGGATTTTTGAAGAGGTGTTCTGGGAAAGTCCCACTAAACCCCCATCAGATTAAAATCAGTGGATTCTCAGATTGGTCAGACACCAACAGAGCCTCATTACGAGTCATTCCCCACCATTTCCCTCTTGAACAGACAAAGTCTGTTGATAAAATGAGTTACCAGAGCTGTTCTGACAGACACACAGTTCTGCAGCCAGGCAAGGAAGAAAAATCATGTCACAGGGTATTGAGCAACCTGGTCTAGTGGAAGGTTCTGTGCCTATGGCAGAGTGGTTGAAAATAGGTGATTTTTAAGGTCCCTTCCAACCCAAAGCAGGAAATTATTCTATGAACAGGAGCAATGCAGAACTTCTTGGTGCTTCCACTTCATCCTGTTCTTTTACAAAAGTCTCCCTCCTGACCATGAGAACATTGTCCTGAGCACCACCAATGCAACCTGGATGGGAATAGTGGCCTAGAAGGAGGAGAAAGGCAAGAAAGATGAAGGGGCATTTAGCATGGATCCTGGCCTGAGAGATGTGCAAGAGAGAGATTTGGGATTGGAAGGATTGTTTAGGTGGGGAAGAAAAATAACTTCAGTTTCATGTGAAGCTTAATCTATGAGGAGGAATTCACAGTAATTCCCTGCCTTGAATCACTTTCCTAAATAACAGAGCCTAAGCAATATAAGGTGTCACTGAGTCCTTTGTTTGCTAAAGTTGCCTTTAGTTCAGTGTTTAGAGTCAAGAAAACAGATTTTAAAAAAAAAAAAAAAAACACAAAAGAGGCAGCTGTAATGTGTAGTGTGTAAATGTGTGAGACAGGGCTGATATTTGG